GTAAGTGGAAGATTTTGTTTTGCTTTTATCCTCCTGGCTTAGTTTTTAACCTGTCCATTGTGACGTCATATAACAACGATTGTAAGCTTCCCCTGGTTACCAGTCAAAGCTTGGGGATTTTAAAATCAACAATCACATATACTATGATGATATACGAGATATTTGCAACTTTCAGAAGCCAAAAATTATAGAAGCAAACATTATTTATTAGCATTTAACCTGAAGCACATCGGTGCATTTTAAATGAGGTATACCTTTTTGTTTTGTTTTTATTTACTAATTTTACACTGACTGTTACAGTAGTAGTTTTATAGTTTTAGTAAACTATTAAACTATTATTAATGAATTTTATAATTATTAACTTTGTTTTGTTGACAGTCCTCACTCACACTTTGCCGTAATAAATTCTTGTGAACTATTCTGTATAGGTAAATATAAGTCTTGCTTTCCCTGTGCCTTTTGCTGTAGCTTGTGTTTATTTAAAAAAAAAAAAAAACGCTTAAACAAGTCAAAAAATTAGGCTTTCCTCCGAACTTCTACCCCATAATATGGCGGCCAAATACCGTAACAGGGCCTCAGTCATGTGTAAAATGCGGACTTTCTTCGACGAACACATTGCGGCAAAACTAGGATTACTTGACAATGTCACGACACGCAACACTGCAGACGATAGTAGCAGATGATAATAGCGACTGTTGACAATTTTGAGCATTTCTGCAGACGTTACTAGCAACCATTGACAATTTCGAGACACCAACATTACTGACGATAATATGGAGTTGGCAGGGAGATCACATGCTCTGAAGCAGGTTAGCGATAGTGTTCTTCAGATTAAACTCACCGCCGAGCGTATCCCCCGTGCCGCTACGTGCGGGGTGGATGGAGATCTAAACTAGGTGCCTGGGACTCATGAGCAGTTAGAGATTAATTGGAAAGATTTACAAAATATAAAGAATATGTATTGGTAGCAAAGAACAGCTTTAAGAATAACAATTTGGGAACATTTCAAAGCATAGGGGAGGTGGAGGGGAGTAGGACAACGATGTGTACTATCACCTGATTTGTTTTCATTATACAGGGAATATATAATGTCATGAATATTCAAGGAATTGTGGCTGGTGTCATAATAAAAACAATCTGCATTATGCTGATGACACCATCTTGATAGCGACAAGTTAAAAAGTACTACAGGTATTGATAGATATGGTGGTGGTAGAAAGTGATAAAATAGGCCTCAATTTGAATAAAATCGGCCTCTGTGGCTTAGGCGTTGCCAACGCGCTTTGTAATGCCAGGGTGCCGGGTTTGATACCAGCTGCAAGCCTTGCCCTTTGCATTGGTTTCGACAGTGGTATCAAGAAGCCGACCGTCCAGAAAGCAATGGCAAACTACTGGACGTAAATGTGCCTAGAAAACCACTACAGTGAAAAATGCTATGGTTCGTTCTGCAATGTCCTCTAAACAATACGCAACTAACTTTAACAGAAATTTAAGTATCTAGGTGCATGGTTAACATATGATGTAAGATGTATCACAGAGATGAAGAACAGAATAGGACAGGCCAAAATTGCCTTTTATGAAATGAAGAATTCTTTGTGCTATATAGAGCAAGTTTTCACATACGGCTGTGAATCCTGGACAATTAATAAACATGCCGAACAAATCTTGAGGCCTCGTATATGTGGTTTTACAGAAGATTCCTTATAATTCCTTAGGCAGCTAAAATGAGCAACCCAGATGTTTTAAAAGAGGTGAGTGCTCAAAGACAACTTATCACAAACATCAGAAAGAGTCATCATTTAAGTCATAAAAAAGAAGCAAACTGGAACATGTTGTGACAACTGGAAAGATCTGTGGAAAGAGAGACAGGGGAAAACAACATGAGAAAATTCTTGACAGCCTTTTGTCATAGCATGGAGAGGTGTTAGCACATGCAATGATACAGGCAGTTGCAGATTCCAGATTGTGGAGAGGCATGATGGCCCACGCTAGTCGGCAAGTCACTTGATGATAATAATAAATCTAAGAGAACTCGTTACACATAGTCTCATCTGAAACTGACTTCTCAATTCTGTGTACATATTATATGTACGGTAAAATTGTGACAATGGGACATTTTGAATGAAAGAGGGTCAGGGGACAGTCAAGAAGATTGTCTGAATGCTTCCATCTGCAGTGAGGAGAACAGAGATGGAGGCAGTCACTGCAGCCAACTTCACTTGTTGTAACTGACTCATAGAGCATGTTAAGAAAGGTAAAGACAGGGATGCCTCATACAGAGTGCCAAACATTGTTTCAGAGATACCCTGCAGTTAGCATCCTTTGGATATTTTATCCAGGTCACACCGATGAATGGGAAATGAACAGGCAGATAGATTGGCTGGTTCTACACCACTTAATGGAGAACTGATGTATGAGGTGCTAGATATTGTAAGGTTCTTTGGGAGCAGGTGAACAGTGCAGAGGCACAAACAGATCTGTCTGAGGAGAATAGTGCTGCGGGGAATGACTAGCAGATCTGGCCAATGTTCAACACTCAAGAAAAAGGTGAGGCAGATATACAATCAGACTGCTACTGGTACTATCGGACCTGGAAATCTGCATTTTCTGCTGAAAATGGGGATGAAGTTCTTATAGGAATATCCTGACTACTGTGATGTCGATTAAAAATTCAGCATTCATTTCAAGTGACGATGATCTGTCAACTAGCTAACAAACTAACCAACCAGTCAACGAAACAATTAACCAACACAAACAAGATGTTGTTGGTGCTGCAACAGCTTGTGGTTTAAGTAAGCTGAGATCTTCATTGGAATGGAATTGGAAGACTTGACAGATTGTTTAAATGTTAGTCACAGTTAATTAAGTGAGTTTTTGAATCCAGTTTCCAGTCAGCTTATCACCAAGTTAAGAAACAAAAATTGTAACCTCAACTCTTTGAGTCCCAAGGAACGCATCAGACATTCATAGGTTCCCTCTTAGAGGCCCAGTGAATGCAAGATACACAGATTTTACATCTCTTTTGACTACCCCTTGGGCCTCTGATGCTAAACCCCCTGGGACTCAAAAAGTTGAACAAGTCAGAGTTACATAATATAGATCACATGTTGAGTCGTATACATTGGTCAAACCTGTTGCAGATAATCACCATGGGGAAAAAATCCAAAAAAGATGACAAGCCTGTAGCAGACGATGCGGTGAGAAACAATAATTTAAACATCACACCACACTGTTTTTGCAAAGAAGTTTTTTTTTTTCGTGAAGCATATATATGGCTACATGTACTATATGGCTGTATATCCTATATGGCTGTGTGTCCTATATGACTATATCTCCTTTATGACAATGTGTCCTAAATGACTAGATGTCGTTTCTGGTTTTATGGATATTTGTCCTTTATGGCTTTCATATATGGCTACGTGTTGTATATGGCTATATTCCTTTTGGCTATGAGTCCTATATAACACAAAAAATCCTTTTTGTCCTACATGGCTATGTGTCTTATATGGCTATGTGTTCTTTGTGGCTGTGTTCTGTATGACTATATATCCTATTTGAGTATATGTCCTATATGGCTGTGTGTCCTATATTACTGTATGTCCTATATGGCTTTATTACCTATAAGACTAGATATATACCTGAACGAAAAGTATATCAGTGAGCTTCACAAGATAACAAACACGAAGAAAACATAAACGTTCCGGCTATAGAGCACATACATATAACCACACATACTCATAAGGCTTTTTGCCCAATGTGGCTCTAAAACCTGGAGTAAAACTGAAGGAGATATATCTTTATTTTATACTTTTGAGAACAGTTTTACAAGAAATTTGTTGACCAATAAAAGGTACAAATAGAGGAGAACAGAGAGTAAGAGGCAACAGCAGAATTAAAAATCTGTTTAAATCCTCACTAATTACTGGTCTCGTGAGGGATAATAGACTACAGTGTTGAAGCATATGGAGAGAATGGCAGATAACAGAGACAACAACTGCATACACGCTATGTAGTGTTTCTTTCTTCTTGAAAATGCTTCCTGCTCAATAAATTGTGTCTTTCTTCAGTTTGAAACAATCATTGTTGAAAGTCGGCAGGCAGCCACGTAGTGTTGATGCTGTCAAGCCCAGAAGAAGATAAACAATCAAAAGCTTGTGAAGCCCTTTATAAATTTGTGTAGTGTTGATGACCATAATTTCTGTTTCCTACTCTAAATATTGTCTTTTTTTTTCCAGTTTGAAACAATCATTGTTGAAAGTCGGCAGGCAGCCACCGTAGTGTTGATGCTGTCAAGCCCAGAAGAAGATGTCCAATCAAAGGCTTGCGAAGCCCTTTATAAATTTGTGGAAAAATGTGAGTAGCATCTGGTTTTGAAGTAAGCAACATGAATTACACAAGCTTGTGGGAATGTTTCACTTGGCCTGTAATTTATTTGAAAGTGACATAACGTTTACAATTTATGGAGCAATTACACAAACTGTTTAAAGATGTTACCTGGTTTGTCGTTTCTGGAAAATTAACTTCTGATTTGTAGTTTTGTTGTTATGTTTGTCTAGGTTTAAAAAAAAAAACTAAAGGGGTTTAGGGAATTTATTTTTTACAAATTTATGTAGCGAAGGTTTGAGTGTCTTTTTATATTAATATCTAGCACTCTTCTTCTTTGCGTTCACCAGCTGTAAACTCTGTTCTGGTTGTTCATCCACTTCTGGACTTTAGTCTTGTTCCAGAACTGGAGTTTTGCACGTACATCCATTTTACAGATCTTGCTCATTTGTGTGCAGACTGTTGGTTCCTCACCTCTCAGGCAGGTGCGCTCTGACTTGAAATCTAACACTCAGTTTTAAAGAGAGCCGCTGTAGCTAGAGCAATGTAGTGGCTAAAGACTCATCTGCCGACAGGAAGGTCTAAGGTTCAAATCTGCATTGAGGCAGATGTTTTCCTTCAGAACTGACTTTGGCTTCCAGGTCAGCCCAACAAAAAATGGGTACCAGGTAATATCCTGGGAAGTAAAGGCATCACCCGTAGTGTGCAGATTGGTCTATACATTTTATTTCTAGCAGGGTGACTCTGTTGCAAAGTGGTCAAGCCGTTTTCCTGGCACCATGAAGGTTGTGGGATTTGTTTTACAGCTGTGTCATTCAGTTTAGAAGTGCAAATTTTTTTAACGGGGATCCCAGAGGATTGTCACCAGAGTTACAGTGTTCCTGCTTTGTTCAGTGCTCTTGGCAGGTGGCTAGCGCTTCTAAAAAAAAAAAAAGACTGAAGCATTTGAGATAATACCTGGTGCAATGGAGTCGATCCTCTTGACTTTAAGCTCTAAAGTTCTAGCACTGTATTCCTGGTTTGACAAAGGTCTTTTACATGCAAGGCTCTAAGTGGCAGCTTAGTTAGCTTCTGGTCCAAAATAAAGGACTAGGCATCACATAATGTTTAGCTTCAAAGTTATTTTTGCTTCTGACAGCACTTTGCTAATGTAGTTTTCACATATCTACAGAAGTCTATGGTTTTGCTGCCTGAGTTACTGAGTTAAGTGCTTGGTGCAGGCCTGTGAGCTGTGTTTTTCATGTAGAATGCTTTTCATTTGTGCATCGGCTGTGTCGTGATAATCAACATGGTTATTTGTTGGTGTACGTGGTGGCTGGTAAATACCTTATGTAACATGTAATCATTTTACGTGTATAGCCATCTTATTGTGATCAAACTGTATTTCTGCTGAACAACAAACTGCATTTCTGGTGGAAGCTGCTGGCTTTGACACCTCTAGCAACTGCGATATGCATACACTGTGTTCACATATTTATGGATTGTGCCGGGAACATTGAGAGACATTTTATTTGATTTTCACTGGTACAGGAACGGAGCAAGTATGGTTTGACCTGGTTGCAGTGATGTTGAAACCTCAACTAAGACTAAGACTAGTTAGCTTATACCTAAACCCAGGACTGACTGCATCGTTAGTGATTTTCTGATCCCTTCTTCTCATAATGTGCCTAATATATTGCCAGCTAATTTCTTTATTGTCTTATAACTGTTGATACCAGTGGTTGTCCAGATATTTCCCTTATTTGTTTGCTTTTATTCAATTTTTCCATTTAGTGTTAATTAATTTTAAAGCCCTAAGCTACATCAACCATGCACTCAGAATGGATAGGACCAGACTCCCCCATAAAGCCCTTAAATGGACACCGGAAGGGAACAGAAAATAGGACAGACCAAGAGAAACCCTGCGTAGAACCATAATCAGGGAAGGTTTAGCCATGGGCCTAATGAATATCCAAGCCATAAAACAGGTCGCAACAAACAACCAGACATGTAGAGCTAAGACCTCGTTCCTAAGACTAACTAATTTCCCTAGGCACACACACAGTTTGTATTATTTGTTGCATTGTAAAAACTTAATATTTGTCAGTATGGTGTGAATTGATCTGACAAACGATTTTAGTGTGGATACTATTGTTTTTTGGGTTTTTTTTAAAATCCCAGGTGATGCCAACAAGAAGATCCTTCTTGAGCTAGAAGGACTTAATCCATTGTTACATTTGATAACCAGTGAAGATAAAACTGTCAGACGGCATGCAATCATGGCTGTTGGGGTCATGTGTGTTCACCGTAAGTATTCTCTAGTGTCCTTTTCCTCTTCTTATAGTCTATGCCAAGTGGTGATGGTAGTAATGTCTGTCCAAAGTCTTTTATCGTGTTTATTGTCAGTATTTATGATACAGATGTTTTTCTACCTTCTCTTTTAATTTATCAATTTATTCTCTGATACACATGTTCTGCCATCTTCTCTCTTGGATTATCCATTTTTCCTCTGATACAGATGTCTTTCCAACTTGATGTCTGTCTCCTACTCTTTGCTCATGTCACTAAGCAATACATTTTTATTAAACATTTTTTCGGTATGTATCATCATCATTATTGTCCTATTATGCCATTATATGTCATATAGAGCTCGCTGTTTTTTTTTTTCATTCCGTTTTATCTTGTGCAATATTTTCAATATCAGGAATGGAATCCAGTCAAGCGGCCTTGACCTCTCTCTTCAAAGTTTGTTTTAGGGTTTCTTTTAGACATGCTAGCTTCTTCAGTTCCTTTATTTCTCTATTCACTGCCTGTTTGAGGATTCTCTGCATGTTCCACCTGACACCAGCATCCCTTCCTCATCCTGCATTCTGCCGAAAACTAGTCCAGCTCACTCCTGAAACTCTTCATCAGCAACCTCATTACACCTTTCTCATTTTCGTCTCGCGTTCACCAGCTGTAAACTTTGGTGGAAAGTTCTGGTTGTTTGTCCAGTCCTGGTCGTTGGTCTTGATCCGAACTTGAGTTTTGCATGCACATCCATTTTTACAGATCTAGCTAAGTTGTATGCAGACTATTGGTTACTTGACCCTCAGACAGATCCACATCACTTTGAAGAAAACACCCCTTAATAGTCAAAGTCTGTGACGTGCTTGTCTCAACGCCTTACATAAAGTTTTGTTAGAGGGGGTTTAACCTTGTATAAGTGCAATATATATATATATATATATATATATATATATGGCAAATGAAAATAATAAGTTATTTGAAATTAAATGAAATATAAACAGGTAGTGTGTCTCCTTGGTTCACATTCTTAATCCGTTCCAGATCCTTGACCTTGTACCAGACAGGACATAAAGCAAACAAGTTTTTCTATATCTAATGGAAAATGAAATATCAGTTCCCATGAAAAAACATTTTTCGCACCTACACAGGACTATACCAAGTTGGCTTATTCCACAGCAGATATACCGAGGTACCACAGTACTTAAAAAAGTACTTTTAAATATCGTGGGTCTTAGTCCCTTTAAAAATTATTAGCAGGAACTAAGGTGGCTGAAACCCCCAGGTTCTGTCACCTATGATTTTGTTAATTATATGAATCAGCAGATATTAAGATGGGCAGCCATAGTTGTGCAGTGGTTAGTATATTTATCTGACAGTGGTCAAGGGTATGAATTTACATTGAAACAGATTAAAAAATTTAATCTGGGCTTGCCATGTTGACTCTGACAAAAGTGAATTTTAAAAAAGTTATTTATATATGTATGTATTCTGAGAAATCAAAATGAAAAGGAGGATTCAGGCTTTCGAATGTAAATGCTACAGACGCATTTTACAAATTAGTTATTTACAACACAAAACTAATTAATGTGTCAGAGACAAAATATGCAAATTTGCAGGTCATCAGGAGCCTCTCTTGGCAATGGTGAAACGTCGCAAGCTAGCTTGGTTTGGTCACATGGTGAGACATGATTCAGTTTGCAAAGACTGTACTTCAAGGAACATTGGGGGGGGGGGGGGGGTTAGTCAAAGAAGAGGAGGGCAAAGAAGAAACTGGAATGACAACATCAAGAAATGAACAGGACTAAGTTATATACTTATTCATCAAGCGGGAGGCAGAGAAAGAAGGCGGGTTTTATGTACTAGTGCTTCCATCAGTACACCTCCAGGACCCTAATGGGTCAAGGGTTATGTTATACTTAGAAATACAAATGGCTGGCATGATATTGACCCCATCGTCCATTGAGTGACAGGTGGTCTTCAAACGTCATGGGGCTGTCACTCTATGTGTTTTATGATCCTTTACTTTTATGACTAAATATTCTTTGTTTAGACTGTACTACACTGCAAATTTTATTTTTATTTTATTGTTCATGTTTTAGCTGATGTCCGCAAGTTTATGAGGAAGAAACCATCAGCAATTCCATCCATTGTTTCTCTGTTGAGCCAAGAAGGTAGAAATGAGCAGTTTAGTTGACACTGAACGCACTTTTCCTAAAGCTAACAATACTGAAAGTGTGGTTTTGATTTATTTTTGCCACACATTTGTGTTTTTTTTTTAAAGTCTCTTCTGTTCTTTTGTATTTTGTGTGTGCATTCAAAAGCTGTAAACTCCAAAGGAAAGTTCTTGTTGTTCATCCACTTCTGGTTATTTGACTGGGTCGACACATTGTCTTCCACACAAAATGTTTCAGGTTTTTACCCCCTCCCAGATGAAAGTAACTCTCTTTTTCTGTGAACGACTGTTCAAGAGTTAGGGTTAGGGTCAATGTTCGGGTTACATGCAGAAATACTGACAGGTCAAGGAAATTCATGGCGTAGTCCAGCAACACTTCCACATCAGGCAGAATGAGAGGCAACAAAACAAACAAAAAGTAACCAAATAAAATGGAAATTGTGACAAAATAAATGATAACAGCATTAAAAAGAACTAACACCTGACACACCTAGAATTTATGAGTTTCAGTGTTTTAATGTTAGTGTTAAATTAACAGCCACTAAGACTGACCCTAAACCTGACCCCTACACCATGATCTTGACTGTAGGACTGTCTCAGGGAAATCTGTAAGTAATTTTGTGCTGGATGAGATGGGGTGAAAAACATAAATAGTACCAAAAGTTTAGGCATTGTGAGTTGAAGCAACAGTTTGGACGTTAGGAGTTGAAGTAACAATTTGTGTAGACTTAATTAGGATAACTGCTGGATGGAAAATAAGGAGTTAAGATCAAGTAAATAGCACGAAATGTATGGTGAGTTTTTTGGTATTGAATGAGTTAATCATATCTAATTTGTTGGATTCGGTAGCTTCTCGGCAAGTGTGGGTCTATTCTAGTTCACCCCAAAATAGGACCACAAGGAGAGACCAGTCAGTTTTCCAGCTCTCTCCTCAAGCTCTTCAGACCAATCACAGAATTCAATTGCCTATGTTTCACACAAAAATAAGCACATATAAAAACCCTTTTGAACAGAAAGAGCTAAAGTAAACTGAGTTTTTAATGAACTAACTCAGGGTTTGCTTTGTACAGAATGAGTTAAAGTCACTGGTTAAAAGACATTTTTCTAAAAAAATGGGGTTCTATGGGGGGGGGGGGGGGGGGAGCTCAACTTTGTTTAAGTGCAGTAAATTCATATACATGTGTGTGTATGTGTTTGCGCTCTCGTGTTTGCATGTGTGTGTGTGTGTGCGTACGTGCATGCATGAGCGTGTGTGTGATTTTCTAGCTTCACCCAGGATAGTGGAAGAAAATGTTATTCTCATGTCCTTCACTTTGCAAATAGGACTCCATTTTCCATTGTTGTTTCCCACAGAAGACGCAGTAGTCCATGAGTTTGCAGCCTTGGCTCTGTCATTACTGGCTACAGAATTTACTAGTAAAGTCGCCATTTTTGAGGCTGGGGGTGTGGAGCCCTTGATCAAACTGTTGAGTTCCAACGACCCTGATGTGCAGAAGAACACCATAGAAACTATTGCACAGCTTGTTATGGTAAGTATTTGTAACAGGGTCACTACCCATATTGCGTTGTAATGTTGTGCTGTCTGCACAACAGGCCTTCACCCTTGTTTTTGGAACCTTTTTCACTGAGCTTAGTGATCGACTAAAAGTACATAGGTCCCTGTCCTTGGTTCTCACAATATTCCAGCCGTCTGTCTAGACATCACGTGACTCCCCCGTCCAGCACCAAACAATAAGTTGTTTTTCACATTGTTTTTTCACATACTTTCACTGACCCGGCTAGCTAAAGTCACAGTAGACTCTGCACAACATGGGCTGGAAGGTTCTGGGAGCAGGCTAGTAGCTCCTATATAAGCGACTGCCCGGACCCCATAAGAGAGGAGAGAAGCGCCGGCCAGCAGAACAGGAAAGGAAGTCAGGCTTGAAGGCAGGTTAATTAGAAATTATAGTTAAGAAGATAAATAGAGTCCTTTTCGTTAATTACCTGAAACTGATGTACTCCATAAAAATCCACGTTAGGAGGCGTGGACCTGTTCATGACTTAACAATTGTATTAACATATGAAAATGGAAGAGAGCGCGTGCACAGATTGTCTGGAGTGCACTTTGCCATTTATTTTAATCCACCATGGGTCCAGTCAGATTCGGGAGTAGATACTGAGTCGGGGTCAGACGTGGAACAACGAGAAGAAGCAGAAGCACAATAAAATAAAACTATATATAGGCCAGACTTCATGGAGATTCCCTGTCGTATTTAAAAAGGAAAAATGAAAACTCTTTAGACCAACCCTCACTAGGAGCCCGGTGGCAGTTGAGACACCAGAACCAGTTAACAAAGTAACAAGAGTAAGAACACAACGCGACCTGAACAGTATGTAACTATAGAGAGAACGAAGCGCCTTTCAGAATATCATTGATGTTATTTTGTAACATTGTTGATGTACGACAATAAAGATTTCAGACCAGAACAGTTGTTTTTAGACGATTCTGTATACAAGTCTCCGAGTTGAGTGGGAACCATGCGGCTAACAAGACACTATCATCATCATAACCATTATCGACACGACCATCTTTACTCTCATCAGTAATATCAACATCGGCTACCCTTGTGGCAAATTTAAACACAAACCTGGGTGTAACGTTAATATAGGCAGCAAAGGAAGCAGCTGTGCCACATATTGAAAAACAAATACAAAAAAGTCTGAACACTTTTGCCTTGACTATGCTTTAAAAAAAAAGGTGGGAATCTACAGGAATTGCCAGATAAAATAATCATTTAACACAGGTCACTAATAAATTGAAAAAAAAAAAACTAAAAAAAAAAAATGAGACAAACTAAACTAAACGGAAAAAAAATAAGAAAAAACTAAAAAAAAAAAAAAGCTTTCTACCTTAAAAAGTTAAAAAAAATTGTTTGTTTTTTACTTTTAAAAAAAAATAATTTCGAAATATCAAAGCAAGCCACAAATAAACATAAACAGAATGAAACAATAAATGAAGTACATTTCTCATGGCACACAAAATTGATCAGATGACTCATGCTGGAATTCTAACACTAGACACTAAAGTACTGGCAAAAAATGATGTCAAAATAGCTTTTTTTTTTTTTTTAAATTGTGTTCGCAAGAAAACCCCTTTAATTGCTATTTTTTTAGTAAACATATTCATATCCTGACCGCTTAAACATTGCACTAGGGAAACATAACCAATGAGGTTTCTTATGCTTCTTGGGCACAGGTCACGGCAGCCATGCCAAGCATTTATGGGATTGAGTGATCACTGATAATGCCACACCCGTGGTTACCTGGAGCAAAAGGTTTAAAAAACTGTTTCACATCATTGACATAGAGAGTATATGGTACTTGGTTCCTATTTTTCATAGACCAATCAACACTCAGTAAGTAATGCAGTGAACATCAAATCAGCTGCCTTTATTTCCCAGAACATTTGCTAGTATTCATTTTAGACTGGGTTGACCTGGGAGCCCAGACTAGTTATAAAATCCACCTAGGTGCTGACTTGAAACCCAAGATCTTTGAGTCGCAGGCAGGCAGGGATATAGCCACTGTTTTGCAGCAGTGAATAAAAGAAAAATCTTCATCAGGACTTGGAGATTGTAGGTTACAGAGAAAGTATAAACCAGGCAATCAATCATTAAAAAAAATATGTCAATAATTTAACCCAACAGGTAACATTCAGTTGGTCAGTCAAGTCACATAATTAAGCAAGCAAACGTCATGTACTTCTGCATTTGTTTATTTTTGTTACCATTGACTGGAGCTAAAAACTAATATTATGTTTACATATTGCATATGTGTGTAAAAAGTAAAGGACCCTTTTCCATGCCTTTAGGCGTATAGGGCATGTCGGGCTAGACCTATATTTTATAGACCAATCAGCACCAAAATAGGTGATGTGGTCAGCATCAAGCTGGCTGCGTATATATATATATATATATATATATATATATATATATATATATATATATATATATATATATATATATATATATATATATATATATATGTATGTGTGTGTGTGTGTGTATGTAAATTATATATATGTAAATTCATTAATGTTTGGATAATTCAGGATTACAAAACCAGGGCTGTTGTTCGTGAATTTGATGGCTTGAATGCTGTTCTTGACCTGATCAAGTCAGAATACGCCATCATTCAGAGATTAGCTTTACTGGCTTTGGAGAGACTTACACAAGATGGTAAATAAGTTGTCTGATTTTTATTATCGAAGTAGTTGTGTCAAAATTACCTTTTTTGTTGTCAGATTTTTCCGGACCCTGATACTTGTCAATCAATCCCCCCTCCCCCAGCCTAAAATGGTTGTCCTGGGGAAGTAAAGACAGCTGGCTTAATGCTGACCACATAACCCCCCCCCCCCCCCCTTTCCCCAGTGCAGATGGTCTGTAAAATATATGGGTGCTCTTCCCATATTCCGGATACTACTAAAGGCGTGAACAGGTATCTTTGTTGTTGTTGTTGTTATTGATCCAGCGGCGCATAAGCTTTCGCCCTTTGGCCTAACAAAAAAAGGGATCTTAACTTCACTTACTTCACTAACTGATACTTGTAGTACAGTTGGTGAAATTAGGACAACAGTGTACATGATGGGTTGGAACCATCGACTGAAATTTGTTGATTATTGCTGACCCCACATGGTTATACACGTTTGTAGTGAGTGCGTGGGTTTGAATCCAGACACTGCACACCCATGTGAAATTAATGTCTGAGCTATGTTGGTCTGAGACAAAGTCATGGATAAGCAAAAAAAGAGAGTCAAAAATGGCTTGTATAAAATAAAATGAAAGTAGCTGTACTTGGTATTCACAGGAGTAGGAAAGGTATAGTTAGATATTAAGTAAAAATAAAATAACAGTTAACTTTTCCGGCCTTTTCTTTTCTTAGTATTAATTTATAACTACTGCCCTCATTAAGTGATTTTATCTAAACAAGTTGAGATAAATCAGAATGGACATAGACATTTGAAAAAAAGTTTAGAGTTTGCCCAATTAAAGTTTTATAATTAATAGAAACAGATTTTGTCAAATCAATATTAACGAACTAGAAAAAAAAAACCATGAATAGCGCTGCTCTTACAGTCATAAAAGATCATGACTCATTGATGGTACTGAGTTAATCCAGTGAGTTATATGTGCATATGAAAGAAGAGTAATGACTGTGTTATGATGACACTAATTCTTGTGAATACGAATGGTACATAACCTGAAAAAAATAACCTGCAAACAGGCCTCAATTTGGAACTGCCTAACCTTTCTGCCAGTCTGATGATTACAAAAATGACCTTGGCTCCTAGGTCGATCCAGCCTTAAATGGTTATGATTTAAAGACCTGGGAAGTGAAGCTGGCCAGCGTGAAGCAGACCATATCACCCACCAGGTGCTGATTGGTCTATACAATATCGGTCCAGGCCTATATGCACAGGATGCCTGAAGGTGCGGAAAAAAGTTTTTACTATAGCACTTATGGCGTGATAGTCGAGGAGGGTGATAATTTAGCATAATGTAAGTAAAATAATAAAAATAAAAATTAAAAATGGACACTTTTTTGCTGTGGCAAATAAAGCATATTGCGCTAGACTCATTTTAAAAATTCCATTTGATCCTTTTGTCGAACATGAGGTAAATTTTCTACTGGAATTTAGCAAAACCAAACCAGACATCTGTTTTCTTGCATGTTTCAGCTGATAACCGACGGGTGTTACGAGAGATAGATGCAATTTCCAGACTGTTGGAAGTTCTAGCTCAGCCGATCCTGAATGATCTACATGTCATGGTGGTGATGGTGCTGTCAAATTTACTCGAGGACAAAGAAAGTTTGGAGGTATTTCATCAGCAGCCAACAACACTGTTTATCTTGTTTCTGTCATGCTTTCACATTCTTTGACTCTTCTCTTTCTTTCTACTCATCTGAAACATTCATCCATCAATTAAACAGCCAGCTGTTCATTCATTGGTGTTGACTATTACGGATGCAAGAGTCGGGCTCTGACTGGAAATGGAAAGGAGGATTCAGGCTTTTGAGTGCAAATGTTCCAGACCACAACCCTAACCGGTCAATGGTTATGTTATGTATCCATTTGTCTGCCTAATATCCCTGTTTGAGTTACAGGATTTATTGGGGGGGGGGGGGGGGGGGGGGGGGGGGAAGGGACTGGCTAAAAGGTAATTTTTAAAAAAGGCCAAAAGGTGCAGATTTAGCAG